GTGACTCCAAAACGCTTGGGAAACGCTGGACTAGGATATTTGAAATTCATGTACTAGCACCATTGCTGGTAGGAGAGCTGGTCACACGAAAGCTTTTTTGTTAACCCTCTTGATCTCTCGCTGTCTAGCAGTGAATCTGACACTGACGAAAACAATCAGGAAAGTAATGGAGACAATCAAAATGATTATGTTTACAATTATGTTGTGAATTATTGGATTAGGGGTTCTGAATTGGATAGAGATGACCCCTATGAATTTTTAGAAAAAAATAGAGCCTTTAAATATGCCTCATGGGATAACCTCCCCATTTGAGTACTTATGCTAATTTTTACACAACATATTATAAAATTTTTGTGAGAGAGAATAATAATAACTAATAAGTATGCAGACAACTTTCTCAGTAACACCCAGCTCAAATAACCATAATTGGATGCACAATGGTGAAAAGGACCGCTCTGTCTGAAGCAACCGAAAAGTACCCCGAGGGCAGGAAAAGGAGTAGAACTCTGTGCCAGGGGTGTCTAAAGGGCCTCCATGGGCCTTATTTCCCAAAACACATGTGTTAGGAGCAATTCATGCTTCATCCATCAAAAAATTCACATAATTTACACCGGTAAGTCATGTTTATTCTCAGTCGAAATTGACGAGTCTGTTTACATGCAGAAAAAAATCATGTCGGGCGAGTTTTGCCACAACAATGGGTCTTTGGAGGCATTAGTCAGGAGATTAGTGAGTGTTTCATGTTTTGTGTACAAGATAGATCAGCAGCTACACTTATATTCACAGCACACATTCTGCTGGGCACAACAGTCATGTCAGATCAATGGAAAGCATATAATGCAATTGGCACCACTCCGGGATTGACTCATCAAACGGTCATTCATTCTGTTAAGTTTTTGGATCCAAACTCAGGTGCCAATAGCCAATACCCAAAGCATCGAACGTTTGTGGAAATCTGCAAAAGAGAGAAACAAGCGCCACAATGGCACACACAGACATATGCTCGATTTGTGTATGTGTATTCATGTGGACATGTGGCATCAACGTGTTAAAGTTAAAGTAATTGGTTTTTATGTCTTCAACGCCATTCTAGACTATATTTTTAATTTTGGCCACTACAGTAGCGGAGGACCATACAAAAGTAAGTATGTTTTTATTCAAAATAACATTTGTTTTATTGGAAGTCTGAAGTGTTTTAATGGAAATGTGAAATAATGTATAATAATTTTGAATTAAAAGTTTTTTAGTTTTAGGCTAATTCAGATTGATCAGGTTTAGTGATACATTTTCGGGTTCATGCTAGGTTTAGGGATACATTTAGGGTTCAGGTTAGTTTAGTGATACATTTAGTTTTAGGACACAAGTTCGTGGGTCACCGATAACCAAGATGGCGGCCGCGGGCTGATCTCTCCGAATTGTTTTAATTTCAAAAGAACATTTGTTTTATTGGAAGTGTGAATAATAATAATTTTTGCGGTGAATTAAAATTTAAGTCGATCTATCCACTTCTGATACCGGGTCAGAATAGCCGGAGCCAAACTTTTCATTACAATTTCAATTACAGACAAGACAGTTTGAGTATCAGTAGGCTCAGTAGCCGATTTGCCGCCAAAAAAAAAAGCAACTTTGATCTTGATTGATGTCTTACAATAAAATTATAAACATAACGTATTCTTACTTGCTTTTAGCTGTACGTAAAATTGTTATTCGTGTTTCTTCAAAGTACATCAAAGTCTTCAAAATATGGCACATTGCTCGGTTGATAATAATATAATGGCTGTAAAGATGGCAAATGAACAGGAAGTATCCGTCATAACCGTCACGTGACCAACCGAATAATAATTACGCCCCCACGTGACCAGCCAGGTCCGAATAGGCAATTGTTGCTATAGTCTATAGGTTAGCCACTCCGTTAAGTTTAAGACACAGAAAAGTTATGCTACTTCTATTTTGTGATAACAATATTAATAATTTACATTCACCTCATAATAATTGATTGACGAGATGCATGTATTTTGTCCACGGGTGAATGTTCCAGGTTGTACCGTACCTCTAGCCGGCCAAACGTGTACATGACTGAATGTCCCAGTTGGTCTATACCGTATCTACCTAAACGTGTACATGACTGAATGTCCCAGTTGGTCTATACCGTACCTACCTAAACGTGTACATCACTGAATGTCCCAGTTGATCTATACCGTACCTACCTAAACGTGTACATCACTGAATGTCCCAGTTGATCTATACCGTACCTACCTAAACGTGTACATGACTGAATGTCCCAGGTTGATCTATACCGTACCTACCTAAACGTGTACATCACTGAATGTCCCAGTTGGTCTATACCGTACCTACCTAAACGTGTACATGACTGAATGTCCCAGTTGATCTATACCGTACCTACATAAACGTGTACATGACTGAATGTCCCAGTTTGTCCGTACCGTACTTAGCCAAACATTTACATGAAAATTTAAACATTAAAAAAAAAAAGTTTTACACGTCAAACAAATTCGATTTAATTAATACATTTTTGTTAATGATTTATTTCCCCATTCAGGTTGGGAGAAGAAGTGAGGGACCCTGAACAAAATAAACCTAAATATGAAAAGCATATGAAACTATCGTAAACAAAGATATCAGTTTGGTATTTTTTCTTGAAAGCTACGGACAATTTCTCAGCTACATGCATTAGATGTAACAAGATACTTAAAAAACATTGGGAGGTACAACTTCAGGCCTTCACACTTATTTAAAGCCTGCACATTCCACTGACTACTTGGACTTGTTTCTAAGCCCAGGTTACGATCAGATGCGAAAACATATCGTGGATATTCAAAAGCTTGGTCAGAAAGTGGATTCTTCTTTGGAAATATCTATGAACAATGAAATTGAACCTCTTGGGTCTGAGCATGACGAACTTGAGGATAAAATGAAGCTTAAGAGACAAAATTAGAAATTGAAATACAAAAGAAACTTCAGGCACAGGATAATACTTCCAGATCAACGAATGGAGACATTGGTAAAAATAGAAATGGCTTTATTTGAGAATTACGGCTCAAGAGGAAAATATCTATAAATTGCGTATGATAGCCTAAAGTATATTCCGCAGATCAGGTGAAGTAAGAGCGTGCGTTCTCGTCATCAGGTTACTTTTGTAACCATTTGCGGTCAAAGTTAAGTTACGAAACATTAGACTCGTTGTCATTTTTTACGATCTCATTATTTAAATTTGACCAAAGATTGAAACAACACAAATTATTTGAATATTTGATTAATAAAACTAGATCTATTTAAATTAAAAAGTTAAGAATATATTTTTTGTTCGTTTGATTTAAGTCTGATTCTGAAGTTAAACACTTGCGTTATTATTAAGAGCATATTTAAAATAAAAAATGTGATTTTTTTTTTCCTTTACATTTTCATTTCATTGATAAATCCTCACCTCTAATCTCGAATCTCAACTAAAAATTCTCCAAACATTGAAAATATCGGAAGTATCGGGATTCCGGTATTCGTAAACTTCATCGAAAATGCCGGTTTTGGCAAAACGGACCAGTTTTGCGACCCCTAGTTAGTACCAGCAATGTGTGCTCTGCATATATGCAATTTTTCAATTTTGTGTCATCCCCCCCCCCCATGATGTCACCCGGTGCGGACCGCATCCTCGCACTCCCCTAGCTACGCCACTGTATATATGTTAAATGGTCCTTGAGATATTTTGATTAAAGGGGTTGGGACTCCCCTCCCCATGGATGAACGTGAAAACTCCATCAATGCTTAATATTAAAATATCCTCTAAAGATGTAGGTTCGCAAATATACTAAGGTGGAATAAAATTCCCTCTCCGACAAGATATAAATTATAGCATAATATCCTCGGGTTCCCGAGAAATAAATTATTAAACTTGTACAAAAAGCACACATTGTGGTTTCCCATGAGCCTATCTAAGCGGTGGGGGAGAAGCCGTACAAGCCGTAACCCCTAGGACAAATACCATGACATTGTTGGTGGTGAAGGCACTGTTTCGAAAAATAGAGCGTGGCCTTCAATGCCACTTGCTTATAAAGATACACTTATTATCACCCCCCCCCTTTTTTTTTTCTTCTTAACGAATCCCTTGTTATTCTAACTGCATTTAAATATTTAGTGACGGTTTGGAAAGTATATTTGGCGACCTTTAAATGACGCAAACTCATTCATTAAATTTTGTTATTTTTTTAAAAATACGGACGATTATACAAAACTTTTGCTTAAAACACACATATTATTAGCTAGTACTAGTATCCATTGCTATTTATAAGCCGTGGAAAATGAATCAACCAAACTCACAACTAACCTTAACATTAAAAAAAAAATTCATTACTAGAAAATATAAAAATCAACTTTATTATAGTTTAATTCAGTGTATAATATTTTAATAAAATTTATTTTATCACGGGATGAAGAAAACTCTATTCCCGTTTCACGGGATAAGCAAAAAATCCGGGAAAAGAGAAATCCTAGTTTTGATGGAAGCATTCTGACAAAAGATATCATTTTTATAAATTTAATATATAGTGAATAGTGTTTTGGTTTAAATTTAAATTCTAGTTGTTAAATTTTAAACATTTTTAAGTTGGAAAGTGTGACATAGACATAGGCTATTTGACATAGGCCTACTTTAAATGGGGCGGGTGGGAAGCTGAGATTTTTTACGGGCAAATACAAAAAAATAGTAATAGTATGACGTGCTGTATGCTACTTACACTTACAGTTTTAATTTTATGCCTTTTTTCAACGTAATTAAACAAAATAATATCATCACCCTTGAATCAAGTGTGCAATCGTGAGAAAAGGGGTTGGGGGTGGTGGCGATTTTTTTGGGGCATTGTCAATAATTATAGCCATATTATTTTACTCTATTTGTTTGTTAGAGACCAAGAGTGTTATTCTTCTAAGTAAAAGTTACAAAGCATAAGTCGATTTTTGATTGGTAAATCATCTCTCTTTGCTCCAATCGTTATCACCCTTTTACGTCCCCGATCAACAATGGCGCCGTTCGTGTCGTCTGAGGGAAATATTAATGATTAAAAGTCTGGTGAACTTGATATAAATGATTTACAATTGAAGACAAGATTAGCAAAATAAATCTTTGATCTCAAAATCAGTGAAAATAATTTCGGAGATTCTGATGTTACGGTCACCTATTCGACTTTATCATTTTTATATGTTTCATTTCTAGATCTTCATTCATTTTCATCTTTTCCGAGGCTTTGACTTTGTTTATCAATTGATGCCAGCATAGCCTTTACTGGATTCACGTATTTTGGTAATTGTATGCTTAGGCCCATATTCGGTGGACATACCTTATTGCGACATCAACTTATTTCTTTTTGCAAAATGTCCGGAGGAAATTCAGAATTAAAATGGAAGGTAAGCAAAAAAAGAGTAACAAAATAATGACGAGCTTGTTCTAAATATATCCTTTGGTTACCCGTTGTGATAAAAAGGAAAACCACGTGATCCGCGTGACAGCCAATAAAAATCTTTGTTTATCGCGCCCGTTTTAAGTTAGACTATGTCGATATAAATTATATCTTAACACTTTGTAGTTATTTCTTGATTAAAGATAATACATAGTATTATATTAGGTATTTAATACCTGAAATTTGTGCATAAAGCAATGTCAAAGTCGTCTTTAAATGGTCCTTTAAAGGTGAGTTGCTTTTAATATTTAGAGCTGCCGAGCCCATGCCTCAGCACAAATAAGTTTTTTTTTAATAAGTAGGCCTAGTGTCTAGGTTAGAGGCGAAGGAAGACATACATTTAATGAAGGCCTGGTAATCGCTGTTTCAGTGGTAATTAGCCAGATAATTAGATACTTATGTGTTGCTTTATGTGGGCATTAACATTTAATGACAAAATATTCACCACTTGTTATGTGTAGGTAATATAATGGCTCCTTAAAAAACAAATTTGGGCTTGGGTCTTGGGTGCATTGAGATTCAGCTTTGTGTTTCAAGTGAAGTTGTCAGCTGTAGTACAAGTTATTAAATGGTTGTTTTGAGTAGGTAGGCCTACACAGTGTACACATCACTAGACTACAGAAAACAGAACTTGAAAAAGAAAGCAGGCCCAATTTAAAATAATAAAAGCCCTAGCCTCCCATAAACTGAACTAGTTAAATTTAAATCATGATACATATGATTAGCCATTAATTTAATTAATGGCAGTGTCTACACATCCGACAACCGGACAAATAGTGTAGGAGATATTCTTCAGACGAGCATGTCACGTGACCACCGCACGACTAGTATGTGTCATTCCAGCACACATGTCATGTGACAAGGACAAGAGACAAGAGGTTGCCGTCAAAATTTAAAAAAAAGTCTGTATCTTGGTTTAAATATGATAAGGGATTAAGGCTCTACCTAGTAGCCTACATTTAAAATATGAACCAAAGAAAATAAGACCAATACTTGCCAGTTGACTGTCAATAGATCTACTGTCAAAAAAGTTTTATTTTAGGCTTTTAATATTGCGTGAGAAGTAGGCTACCCCAACAGCACACCATAATTATATTATAATATATTGGCCCTATGCCTATATTAAGATGTAGGGTCTATTTCTTTGTGAACTTTCGACCTCCCTAACTTAATTAACACCCTCACTATCATTTTTATCCTTTCTTTCTCGCTCTCAGTATTTCTTCCTTCTAGTATGCATTGCCCCCCCCCCCCCAACTTGAAATAAAATATAAAAAAAATGTTTACCCTTCCCCCCCCCCCCCCCCCCCAATGCCCATGCATCTCCGATGCCCAGTTTTATGATCGACTATTAGCGGTCACGTGACAAGGCTGACGGACATATATCTGGCCCAACTTTGTTACGGTGGTCATGTGAACTGGTCGCCGGACGATTATCTTGAGGATTATTCGTCCGGTCGCCGGACATGTAGACACTTCAATTATTAATAGGGTAAAATTTTAAAAATTAAGTTTTAGCTTTAATTAGTTGGTTGGATAGGTACAATAGGGCCTGAAAAATGCAATTCATCAATACCAAATTTATCATTGTAGGTCAATTCTAAAGAAAGTTATGATTTTTTTTTTTATGTGAATTATTTTGGGATAACTTTTAATTGATGCATAGAAAAATATAACACCGTCAAACCCGGCTATGTCGACGGCCTCTGGGTTTGCCAAAAAGCATTGAGATAAACGAAAACCAATATGGCGGCAATACATTAACATGTGCTTGAAATTTCTTTATGTTCACTGTGTGCGTTTATAAATGAGAATGTGCATGCACATGTTTTGAGATATTTTTTTTTACACGTTACCGCGATTTATTTGACGAAGCAATTGACATGCTATAAAAATGTACATACATGTTTGCTAACAACACAAGGCATGTGAGGTACCACTTTTCCGGATTTGCGACGCTAAATATTTTTCAGCTCCGGATTCGTGAGTTTTTATTTTCTTTCGCTCCCATTCGCCAGTTCAGTTTATTCAAATATGGATTCTGGGTTTTAAAAAAAAAATAAGAACGCGCGAAAGCCTATTGAGCATTAAGCGACAAGCGTGTTCGCTATAAATATAACTGGTACTGCGACCCCTATTTTTTGTTTGCAGGCTCCTCACGTCTTGCTGTGTCAAGTTAATTGCTCGGAGGATATTGTCATTTCATTTCAAATACTTCAGTTTGAAATAGGCACGTTTCTGTTGTATATAATTTTCAAAAGCCGGAGATTGGTCATGGGCAACAAGATAACCAAGGTTAAGTGGTCAAATTTGGCCGCCTTTTTTGCTGGAGACATCAGGGTTCGGCGACATAAAAAAATTGACATAATCGAGGAGAAAATGCTAATACAATGAATTAGGCGGTTCCACTTCAAAAACCATGACGTAACAGGCTTGGCGAGTTAACCAAAGTCGATAAGTGGGTTCGACTGTAGTCACTACAATAAAAAGTGGCAGAGATTTAGGTTTGAGATAGCTTTGTAAAAGAGCAGTAAATTGAATTTATTTAAGGAATTAATGAAGATAACCAAAACAAACCATATATATCTGTGATATCATATGAAACATTTTCAGTATTCAATATGAGCTCATTAATATTCAAAATGGCTGACATGTCACATTCATATTTGAATATGAACAATATTTTCCAAAATATAGGGTCATGTATATCAAATTGTTCCTATTGAAAGGGGGAATAATAATAAGTAGCAGATTGAAGGGTGAACTCATGTTCCTTTAAAAATTTTATTTATTTTATATCTCGGAGAGCAAAATCAAAAATTGATAAAAAAATTTACAATATTCATATTATAGTGTGGCATTAGTTTTTCATAGAAGCCTCACAATTAAAAAAGACTTGTGCTGTTATATTTGCCTACAAATTGCTTAAGATTATGAAGTTATTTGATAGACCTTTAAATGAAATAAAACAATTTTTTTTTTTTTTTTGAAGTATTTCAAAATATCAATTCATTTTAGTACTAAACAAATATTTTAAATCCATTATTAAGATAAAACCAATTTTCTTATTATATCCATATTTTATATGATTATTATAGTGTGGCATTATTTTTTCATAGAAGCCTCACAATTAAAAAAGACTTTTTCTGTTATATTTACCTACAAATTGCTTAAGATTATTAAGTTATTTGATAGACCTTTAAATGAAATAAAACAATTTTTTTTTTTTTTTTTGAAGTATTTCAAAATATCAATTCATTTGAGTACTAAACAAATATTTTAAATCCATTATTAAGATAAAACCAATTTTCTTCATATATCCATACTTCATATGCTTAGACCAAACTCTTAAATAAGCCTTATTATATAAGAGTGGAACTTGGAATTTTAAACAGTGGTTATGAAAATCGCGTGTGGTAGCATGTGTTAGAGAAATTAAATAGACTTAGCTTTATTCAACTTGATACATATTTTTACAAACAAATTGTTGATAAAAAATTGGAAGACTTAGCATTGTTTGGCATCCAATTCTCTTTAAAATGATGCATCACACAACCCATTTAACAAAGAAATGACCGCAAACCACATTTTTTTCCAAACGTATATGCAATGTTGAACTGGACAAAATCAAGGGGCACGTAACTCTGCAAGGGTTTGACACTAGCAAAAAAACTGATTTACCCAAGTACCTACAGTTAATATTATGGGCAATTTAATTTACTTATTACTATGCCTGTGCTAATACTATTATATATATGATAAACAAATATACCATATTATATTTTCTCTTGTTTGTACTTTTAAAACAATTAAATTGCAGACACTTTTTGACAACATGCAAGCGAAAACTGAAGCAGCATTGAAGAAATCTAAGCCAGCTAAGCCTAAAGCAGCTGCAGTTGATGATGATATAATGGAGGTTGACAATGTTAATAATGCAAACTCTAAAGGAGACAAGAGGTTGTCAGTTGAAAGGATTTATCAAAAGAAAACACAGTTGGAGCACATTCTTCTACGCCCAGACACTTATATAGGTTCTGTTGAGAGTGTAACACAGGTAAAACCTGACTGATAAGTGAAACGTTTGGAAACTTTACTCTTATCTTATTAGGCCCTATATTATTGAACAGATTAATTTTGAATACAAATGAAACCATTTGAAAACTTTTTTTTTTTTTATTAACCCTCTTGAGACGGCTGGGCCAGAGTGTCATCGTTATGGCGAAAAAGACAAAGGGCGGATCTATCAGCCCAATAATAAAAGCTTTGATATTGGCTGGCTAGTCTTTGTACCAGCTTTCACATTGCTTCTTCCATTTCTTGCTCATCTAATGGCAGCTCCCATTGATATTTTATGCTGTTCTGACCTTTTATATAGATTTTTTTTGTACCTACTTACCCCTGTAACTACAAGTGCCAAAAGGCATAACCCAAGGGGAATATTTTATGTAGTTATCTAAAATGAATATTATTCAAAAATGGGTTAGGACTTCATAGTCTTCAACAATCATAAAATTAATAAAAATTCTGCAGTTTTATTCTAAGTTTTCAAAAAAATTGCATGCATGCTGCATTATGCAAATCAGTAAGCCTATATATTATTTTCATAAATGTTTTATAATGTTTTCACTTTAGTTCAAAATGATCGAATTAGTTTATTCTATTCCTTACAAGAATATGTATAGTTTTATATTTGTAAGTAAAGTTGTTAGTTTATTTTTTATTTTTGCAAACATTTTTTTTTTGGTATGCATGGTGCTTTTGTCATCTGAAAATTTGAGTATATACATTTATTTTCAATTATAGTCTACATATTCTTTTCAAATTTATAAGTAATAAAATGGACTAGTCCTGTATATTTAAAATGGAAACTTTGTTATATGTTTGTGTTGTTTCTGTAGGAATTAATGATGTTTTTAACATTATTTTTATAGTCAATGTGGGTGATGGATACAGAAAGCAATAAGATGATCCAGAAAGATATTACATTTGTACCTGGCCTCTACAAAATATTTGATGAAATACTTGGTAAGAATGGAGTATTTTTTGCTTAATTCTTAAGGGTAAAACATTGACTAAAAATAATAAAATGTAAATTACATTGCTATTTTATGGGCATATTAAGACTGAAGAATGACCTTACTACCTGCTTTCTGAATTTAACATATTAGTAAGTTAGAAGTGTTAAGTTTATTTTCCTTTTATGCCATCAGCTATACTCATTGTTTTTTTTTTTTATAAAAAATTTAATGAAAGATATAATCGCTATCTAAAAATGACACATGGCAATTCACACACATGATTTTTATTTGCTAATATTAATGAACATTTTTTAGTTTATCATTTTGGTACATCTTTGCAACACTGACTCCCATAAAAAAGGCTCTTACTCCTGAATTGTTTCTTCTACATTAGATTAATGGATTTACCAAATTTTACTTCTTGACCTTGAAATGAATTTTTAGTTTCATCATATTTTAATAATTTTCAAACGCCATTTTACAGTAAATGCTGCTGATAATAAACAAAGAGACCCCAAGATGGACTGTATTAAAATTGAGATTGATCCGTAAGTTTTAATTTACTTATGAAGGATGTATTTTTTTTTTTTCCATTATGTTAAAAATGTTTGAGTGTAGCTATTGATGCTTCCTTGTATGTGGTGAATTTTGGGGGTTAAAATTCAAATGACATTTTCATCAGGGAATCCAATAAAATCAAGGTGTGGAATAATGGCAAGGGCATCCCAGTTGTTGAACATAAGACAGAGAAAATGTATGTGCCCACTATGATCTTTGGCCATCTGCTTACCTCTAGTAATTATGATGACAGTGAAAAGAAAGTCACAGGTATGTGATACATTTACATATTATTTAAGCTGTGCTTCAATATTGCTTATATAACACGAAATTTTTGTTTGAAATAAAGATTAAGCAGTATGCAGTAGTAATAATTAATTCAGTGACGCTGATCATGTAATCATGCATACTGATGTGGACATTTTAATATTTTATCTTTCTTATTTTTCAGGTGGTAGAAATGGCTATGGTGCTAAGTTGTGTAACATCTTTAGCACAAAATTTATTGTTGAGACATCTTGCAATGAATACAGACGTGCTTTCAAACAGGTAATGATTAATCGAAACAAGTATACTTCAAATAGATTTATTTCCTGTTAATAGAATTAAAAATTTAAAAAAAATTATAGTAGCCCATAGTTATCATTACATTTCAGACTGATGATGATATTGATTCAGTATGGGGTGGATGATCATTGTGTAACTTGTTCTCACTTCAGATCCAAGTACTTGTAGCTAAATATATATTTTGTAAATGCTGACATGTTAATAGTTTTTTTGCCTCTGTTGAATTTTTGTTCAATTCTATTCACTTAAAGACACATTGTTTCCAAAGTATTTTATTTCACCAGGAGTAATGTGTTCTTTATAAATTCATTTGAATTTTTAAAATATTTCTTTAGATTTAGTTTAGCTTTATTTGCCATTACTCTGGAAATATAAGGCAAATGTTTAAAGAAGTGTTTCCTAACAGGATGTGTACGCCCCCGTAACAGGGGGGCAATTCGAAGATTATGGGGAAATATAATTTTAATCCAAAGGTGATATGTATTTACATTTCAAAACAGGGGTCGGAACATATACCAGACCTGGTTACCCTCAAACTCTTAAAATCGTACAATATCATCATAAAATTGTTCAATACATTATCTAATAGTAAAAAATAAACATACAGTATATATAATGTATACACCTCAAAATCGTACATTGTATGCCAAAATCGTAAGAGTAAACAGGTCTGATATACCTTTTTTAGGGGCTCAGGTGGGCAAAAAAGTTTGAGGAACACTGGTATAATGTAAATAAATGTCACCACATGTGAAAATCTGTAAATCTATTTGTACATACAGTTGAAATATTCTGTTGCCTATATTTTCATTTTCGGTTGTCTAAAACTAAACATTTTTCCTTATGGGACAAATAGATTATAAATTTATGTTGATATTAATATCTTTCAGACCTGGGCTGACAATATGTCTAAGACAAAAGAACCAACCATTACTGATGCCAAGGATACTGATTTCACCAGTGTCACTTTCTATCCAGACCTCTCAAAGTTTAAAATGGAGAAATTAGATGAAGATGTTGTTGCTCTGTTTACAAGGAGAGCTTATGATATTGCTGCAAGTGCAAAGGGGGTCAAAGTCTTCCTAAATGGAAAACGTTTGCCGGTCAGTTGGCTTTCACTTAGTGATAGTGGAATAGTTAAAATTCCTGTAAAAAAAAAAACAAGAAAGGAAATCAAGATTAAATTTTGCTTTCTAGATTAAACCTTTAGCACCATCTCAAATTTAATTACAATAGTTTATTTTGATGTACTGTTTTAAACCCTAGAGTTGAATTTCTTCAGATATAAATTTTTATCAGAGCTGAAGCTCAAATCAAACTCTATTTTTCTATGTTTTAAGGGTTTTCATTTTCTGCTACATACAGGTAAAAAATTTCAAAGATTATATAGATTTTTACCTGAGGGAACGCACTGATGAAGCAGGTGCACCACTTAAGCTTGTCCACGAAGTAGTCAATGATAGGTGGGAGGTGGCTGTTGCCATGAGTGACAGGGGTTTCCAGCAAGTCAGCTTTGTCAACAGTATTGCAACTACTAAGGTAATTTTTAGCTGTGTAAATCAATTACCTATATTGGAAAAGTAAGCTTGTGATTTTAATGGGAATAGGATGATTTGTGATTATGTAGTAGGAACATAATCATAATTTGAAGTTAATTGACCAGGTCTTTAAATGTGCAAGGATAAATTTGTCAAATGTTGTCTTGGTTCAGACCTGTTTACTCTTATGATTTTGGCGTACAATGTACGATTTTGAAGTGTTAGCATGTATACTGTGTGTTTATTTTTTTCTATAAATATAAGGTATTGAACGATTTTGTGATAATATTGTACGATTTTAAGAGTTTGAGAGTAAACAGGTCTGCTTGGTTGTTGTATAATAATAATGTCTTTGAAGTATGCTATCTTTTTTGGTAATGTTTTACATCTTGGCTTCCTGTTTTCTACAACAGGGTGGCAGGCATGTAGATTACATTTCAGATCAATGTGTTAGTAAGCTGATTGAAGTAGTGCGAAAGAAAAACAAAGGTGGAGTTGCCATCAAGCCTTTTCAGGTAATGTACAGACGTCTGAGAGAATTTGTTTCGTGTTATTTTTTTTATTATTTGAAGATTTATATCAAGCTTTTCCATAACTTGTTCTTCACACAGCTTGGACACTGTCACAATATTATTCTTTAATTATTTGAGAGGGTTCAATAGGTTTCACCCTAAGTTTAATCTTTAAAATCTCTCAGGTGAAAAACCACTTGTGGGTGTTTGTCAGCTGCCTTATTGAGAACCCCACCTTTGACTCACAGACCAAAGAGAATATGACAAAGCAGGCCAAGTCTTTTGGCTCTAAGTGCCAGCTCTCAGAAAATTTCATTAAACAGGTATGACAGTCACGACTAAATCATGTTACATTAAAACAGCTTAATAAAATCCCATTTTTTCATGTTAGGATATGTGGACAATCTGTAAAAAATAGTGTCCCTTTTGTAAACAAGTGTGTCAATCTTTAAAAGATAATTTAATGAATTTATAGGTCAGCAAATGTGGCATTGTGGAAAGTATTTTGTCCTGGATGAAATTCAAAGCACAAGCCCAGCTTAACCAGAAATGTCATGCCTCCAAACACTCCAAGCTCAAAGGTATACCTAAACTTGATGATGCCAACGATGCTGGTACTAAGAACTCTCATTCTTGCACCCTTATTCTCACCGAAGGAGACTCGGCCAAGTCTCTGGCTGTGGCTGGTCTTGGTGTCATAGGCCGTGATCGCTACGGTGTCTTCCCACTCAGGGGTAAACTCCTTAATGTGAGGGAAGCAACGCACAAACAGGTCCGTAGTTTATATATATATTTATTTATTTATTTATTTTTATATACATTTATTTATTTATATATAAATATATTTATTTATATATTTATTTATATCTATTTATATATATATTTATATATATATCTATTTATATATATATATTTTTATATATATTTATATATATTTATATTTATATATATATTTATATATATATATTTTTATATATATTTATATATATTTATATATATATTTATAGATATATTTATAGATATATTTATAGATATATTTATAGATATAAATATATATATTTATATATATATTCGCTATGCAAAATAATTTCTTTATGTATGTTATTTAATGTAGAATTTTTAGAATATGTTTATATGCAAAAGTTTTTTAAAAAAACACAAAAGAATTGGCTATATTTTGTGTGACCTTTTTCTGAATTCTTGCTGTTATTTTGATTTCCATTTTGAAGATCCTGGACAATGCTGAGATCAACAACATCATTAAAATTTTAGGACTGCATTTTAAAGAAAACTATGATGATCCAGTCAAGCTCAGTTCATTACGTTATGGCAAGATGATGATCATGACAGATCAGGATCAAGACGGTTCTCATATCAAAGGCCTCATCATTAATTTTATTCACCACTTTTGGCCTAGTTTACTTCGACACAACTTTGTTGAGGAATTTATTACACCTATTGTTAAGGTTTGTATAGTTAGCTTTTTTTGTTACATATTATATATACATTATATATTATATATAAATTATAAAATTTTTATTAGAACTTAAAATAATCTTTAGTTCTTAATGAACTATTGTCACATTTAGAACTATTAAATTATCTATTGTCGGTCTTTATTTATATTTTATTTTGTCAATTTTACAAACAATTTATATTGTTCTGGTGCAGGTGAGCAAAGGCAAGACAGAGTTATCATTTTATAGTTTACCTGAGTTTGAAGAATGGAAAAAAGCCACAGACAACTGGCATACATATAAAGTCAAGTACTACAAAGGTTTTTTTAAATTTTTCCTCTTTCAGTCTGTGTATTCCAGTGATATTTTTGTTAGAATTTACAAATTAGTTAATAGAATAGTGTAGAAAAATCATAGATTAGATAAAGTATACAATTTGTATCAGTTATCCTATGAGCACTTTGTTTGAATTTTTTTAATGTAATCATCATCATCAATGGCACTACAGCCCATGTAGGGCCCTGGCCTGCTCCACCACATCCTTCCATTCGGAGCGATCTATGGCTTTCCATTTCCATGCTCGAACCCCCAACTGGTGTAAATCTGTCTCCACATCATCAATCCACCTCATCCTTGGGCGACCGATGAGTCGTCTGCCCCTAGGCTTCTGCCTGTATATAATTTTGGCTGCTCTGCATTCCGGCATCCTTTCAACATGACCTGCCCAGTGTATTCTGCCTTTTTTTTATCATTGTGACTATGGGTGGTTCTTTGTACAAATAGTAAAGTTCTTGATTTGTACGTATTCTCCAGATATCATTTTCTATCACTGGTCTGTATATTTTGCGGAGGATTTTCCTTCCCATGTGTTTAGCAGGTTCTCTGCTTTTCTGGTGAGGGTTCAGGTCTCACTAGCATACGTTACTGCAGGTCTTATGGTGGTGTATATTGTCTTCTTTGTTCCCCTTGATAGGTTTTTGTTTCCCAGTAGCTTTTGTAGACTGAAATAGGAACGGTTGCCTGCTGTTATCCTTTCTTTCACCTCTTACATTATGTCATTGTGCTCATTTATAGTTGCCCCTAGATATTTGAATGTGGCCACTCTCTCAAATTTATGGTTGTTTATATTGATGTTATTATCAGCATGGGAGTTTCTTGACATTATCATATATTTTGTCTTCGGTTCATTTACATCAAGGCCAGCTTTGAATGAGGCATTTTCAAGTTCCCTGAATGCTTTAATTATGTCATTACGGTTTCTACCCAGTAGTGCTATATCATCTGCACATGCCAGGTACTGCAATGGTTGGCTAGATAAGGTTCCTGATGGTCGTTGCTCTGTAGTATCTCTCTGGAAATAGTTTGTTATGGTTCCACTGGTGCTAATGTGTATGCTTCTAATAACTTTTTCTAGCGTGATGTTAAACAGGATACATGATAGTGAGTCTCCTTGTCTGAGGCCCCGATTAACTATGAACTCCCTAGAGTATTCTCACTGAACCTTGATTCTATTTTTGGAGTTGGCCATTGTCATGTGTATGAGCCGAGTAAGCTTGTTAGGGACTCCAAGTTCTTGTAAAGCATTGTATAAGTAATTCCTGTTTACGCTATTGTATGCTGTTTTGTAATCCACATATTAAATGTTGGTTAAATTTAACAAAACCACTTATTGATAATAAGACAAAACATCAGTAAAATACACCTTAATTACTAATTTTTTACAATTTGAACTTTTCACATTCTATTAGGTTTGGGTACCTCTACTTCAAAAGAGGCCAAAGACTATTTCAGTGACATGGATCGACACAGAATTCCTTTCAAATATGGTGGTGGTGAAGATGATTCTTCTATACATCTAGCTTTCAGCAAAAAGAAGATTGAAGAGAGAAAAGAATGGCTAACAAATCATATGGTAGAGAAGAAGCGAAGAGCTGAAATGGGATTACCAGAGGTGAGTGGCATTTAATAAGAAGTTTGATTTTATTGTATTATATCTCAGTATAGTTCTATAAGGATTAGTTTGTAGAAACTTCTTTTAAAAATAACTTAGACTCTCCATTTCAAGTATCAAGTAGATGTTTTTATAATTTATAAATGGTCATTTGTGAATAAAGCCTGTAGAATTGTAATTTTTTTCTCAACTTTCAGCTTTATCTTTATGGAAAGGAAACCCGCAGCATTACTTTCAGTGACTTTGTCAACAGGGAGTTGATCTTGTTCAGCAACATGGACATTGTGAGATCCATCCCCTGTTTGTTAGATGGGCTTAAACCAGGTGTGTTATTTAGAATTTCATTTTATATTTTTTTAATAATTTGCTTAAGAATAAGAGTTTTTTTCCCCCCCTCTATAAATAATTTTATAATGGGGTTCAGTGTGAACCTTTCATTTTAGTAAATTAAATGAATAGCAGATTAGTAGATGGGAAATAAAATAGAATATCCAAGATTTTATTGGTCAATGATCTTAACTGATTAACTACCAAATTGAAAATCAGGCTGTGGCCGGATTACATTAAGGTCAAATTTTCTCATTGAAGGTGTATGTACAAATTCAGCTGCAGTTTTCTCAATTATCTTCTGAGTAATTAGCCATTTTTTAGGTAAATGATTAGTTAATGAGATAAATGTGAAACATTTGTAAATATAAGTTTTGGTAGGAAATTATTAATTGTTAAATAAGTAATTACCAGACCTGTTTACCCTCAAACTCTTAAAATCGTACAACATCATCATGCCAAAATCGTAAGAGTAAACAGGTCTGTGTTACAACAAAAAAACAATTAAAAATATATGTCAACTTACCTTAAATTTTAAATTTCCATAACAATTAAAGCCTATTATTTGGTGGTTTTCAAATGGTATATCCAATAATAAAAAAAATACATCAGAGAACACAGAAATAGAATAATATTTCCACTTCCAATTACTTGTATGCATTTAGTAACCCTGTCACTTGTTGCCACGGTAAACAAGGTGTACCATTTTGTAACTAGCTTGGAAATTAAATCAAAACTAATTAATAGCTTGTTTTTTTTAAACATTCTGCAGATAGCATGTGGTCTGAAAATAAACATCCTGTCTTTAAATTAAAATCTGAAACGAAAAAGGGAACGGAATAATATAAATATTTGACCTGATTTACTAAGATACAAACATTGGCGCTACCAGCAGCTCGTGGCCATAATGAAAGAAATCCAGAGCCACTCTCACCTGCTCATGATAGTTAACCAGTTAATCTGTTGGATGACTTAAAAATGTCAATAGCATTACAGAAAGCCTATTAGGTCATACATTCTGCTATGAAAATCCTTTCTTACATTTAGCAATAATAATAATGTAACTACACCTATAAAGGTCAGAGGAAGGTCATTTTCACTTGCATCAAGAGGAATCTGGTGAACAAAGAACTTAAGGTTGCTCAGCTTGCTGGTTCAGTTGCTGAGCAGTCTGCCTACCACCATGGTGAGGTAAGTGTTTAATAGGATAATGTTTTTTCCATCATTATATTTATCATAAATATTTATTGATATCACTTGTCATTTAATTTTGTATCTTGTTGTCATTATTGAGAATTATTTCAGTTTCTCCACAAGAAGTTCATAAATTTAAGCAACAAAATGGTGTTCAGGAAATATTTTATCTCAACTTTTAGCAATCTTTGATGTCAACCATCATTAACTTGGCCCAGACGTTTGTTGGTAGCAATAACTTGAATCTACTCCAACCACTGGGTCAGTTTGGTACAAGAATTCATGGTGGTAAAGATGCTGCCAGCCCTCGTTACATTTTCACCATGTTAAGGTAGTCTAAAAACACTCTTCTTAAACAGATAACATTGTTTAATAAATATTCCTATCTTCACATTTTTAAAAGCTGAGACTATAATAATCTTTTAGAATATTAACAAGTATATGCATCAATCTTACAGTACTAAGTGCTTTCAACAATGAATTCAAAGTAAATAGTTTTAAATTAACTTACAGAATTGCCCTTTTAAAAAAACCAAACAAAAAAACATGCATTTTAGAAGTTAATATTTGTGTTTCTTCTTTCAGCCCCTTGGCTCGTCATGTGATTAATGCCAATGATGATGCTTTGCTTAACAACTTGTATGATGACAACCAAAAGATAGAGCCAGAATGGTATCTTCCCATCATCCCTATGGTTCTTGTCAATGGTGCTGAGGGCATTGGCACCGGGTGGTCCACAAAGATTCCAAATTATGATGTGCGTGAGATAGTTGCTAACCTCCAGAGGTTGCTTGATGATGAGGAGCCTTTACCAATGGTACTTTCTTTTAACTTTTTTAATAAAATGCAGTTTTTTTTTCTTTTTATCAACTATATTGTTTCATACTTTTCAGATTTTTCTGACATTATTTAGAAAGTTTTTTTATTAAAAAAAATATAGCCACCTCCATAGGTTAAATGCTAATTTCTTTTATCCTAGATGGTTTTTGCGACAGGCATTTAAACAGTTATTGTACAATAATTATGCTTTGTTTTCAGAATTTAAATAATTTATTTTTAAAAAAGTAAAATTGAAAAAATTTAATTTCTGATGTGACTACTACAATTTTGGTGAGTGTTTCAATTCATTTCACTTGAATTTCAAAAAAAAAAAATTGAAATATTTATATTTTCATACTTAATTGTAGATTAACTTTTAAAATTCTCCATCCAGCTGCCTTCTTACAAAGGGTTCAAGGGTGTAATAGAAGAAATTGGCTCAAATGATGGTCGTTATGCTGTGCATGGAGAAATTTCTGTCATTAATGAATCAACTGTAGAGATTACAGAGTTGCCTGTGAGAACATGGACTCAGAATTACAAAGAAGATGTTTTGGAAGTCATGTTGCATGGGACAGAAAAGCAGCCTGCTATAATCATGTAAGTTACTTTAAATTTAATATAACAACCATTTTGAAAGAACAAAATATATTAAATTACATTTACAATAATATTATTATTATTACAGTTCACTTATGATTTATACCTTTGTAATGTTTGAGAACATTACAGTTCCTTGGATTGTTGGCAGACACTGTATGACAAATTACATTTACTGATAGTCTGGCGTTCAAATCCTAGCAAGACTATATGTCCACACTGCTGTCCTCAATCTGCATTTGGAGTTAAGAGGCTCAATATGGAAACACTAATCATTACAAAAAAAGTATTTTGATTTTTACGTTATAACATCATTTAATAACTTATGGATGTATTTGTTTCACAGAGACTATAAAGAATACAATACAGATTCTAGCATCAAGTTTGTTGTCAAGATGGCCCCAGAAAAGCTGGCACAATATGAACAAGAAGGTCTCCACAAGCTCTTCAAACTGTCCTCAACCATTTCAACCAACAGTATGGTAAGAACTTAAGAATTAGAGGACCAATGCTTTAAGGTTAAATCTGGTCCAATTATCTGAAGTTTGTTTGAGCATCAGTAATGAATGGAGGCAAGAAAGACAATTAGATGTGTAAAGCTAATTAATATTAAATGTTATCAAAAGATTTTCAAAAGCAACAGAATTTCTTGGGCTGGACTGCATAAGGGGAACATAAAGTTTAAAAAATACACTTGTCTTGGAATATTTTTCTTGTGGAGTTTAAATCTAAATTAATTATTTAAAGATAAGACAGTTACAACTTAATTGTTGCCTTTCCATCAACCATCTTATTCAACCTTTATTAAGGTTCTGTTCAACAGTGAAGGATGCATTAAGCGCTACGACAAGGTAGAGGAAATCTTAAAAGAATTTTACACAGTTCGTATGGACTACTATCACCGTCGAAAAGATTACTTAGAAGGAATGTTGTCAGCGGAGTCCCTAAAGATGGACAACATAGCCAGGTTCATCATGGAGAAAATTGAAGGAACTATAGTTGTTGGTAAGTCTTTACCTCTTTTGATGTTTAATTTTGTTACCAGGCTTTCTGTCTCCCTACTGTTTTCTTCTTTTCATAAATTCCTAATTTATAAGTCTAAGTTGTTACGAGATATATTTTGTAATCTTTCCTTATTTGTAATCTCCAGAGAATAAACCAAAGAAAGAACTTATTCAGACCTTGGTGAGAAAAGGTTATGATTCTGACCCAGTCAAGGCTTGGAAAGAAGCCCAGAACAAAGGAAAAGTATGTATTAAACATCAATACTAGTCATATTATGTATTTATGTTGTTCATATTATTTTAAGTTAAGGTAAATAATCATATATTTTTTTGTGCCTTTCTGCTGCATACAAGGATGGAGATAAAACCGTAAGTATATAATAATATGTATATTTATACATATTAATAAATAAATATCCATTGCGACTTTTTAAGGTTGTAAACCAGTGTACAACCTTTTTGACTATGTGGGCCAAAAAATTTTTTATTCCACAAACCAGAGGGCCGAAAATGACATCTCAAAAGAAAGAATTAAAAAATTTTAAAGTAAATTATTAATATTACTAATACTTCTTACCTTGTGCATAAAGAATCAAATATCCATTAGCATTATAGGTTCACCAAGAATATAAATGAATTGAATAAGAAAAGCTGTAGCACCTTTTTAATTATATATTTTGCTTTGAATTTTACTGGAAATTCTCTTAAGTTGATGTAATCAGTAGCATCTGCCCTCATTAGATTTTTAAATGTTCATCAGTAATTTTTTTTTTTTAACTTGATGTTGGTCATTACAGAGAATCCAACCCTACTGATGTAGGTGCTTCCAAAAACATGGTCCAAATTTTGTTACATTTCCATAGTTGTGGAAATTCATCAGAAGAAGGTCATCTAGAATTTATTTGGGGCCACGCATTCTTATGCTTGTTTATAAAAATACTTTCAAGAGTAATTCCAGACCTGTTTACTCGTACGATTTTGGCGTACAATTTACAATTTTGAGGTGTATACATAATATATAATGTATCTTTTTCAATAGTATTAATATAATGTATTGAACGATTTTGTGATATTTGTACGATTTTAAAAGTTTGAGGGTAAACAGGTCTGTAATTCCTACTGTCTCAGACAATTTCTCCCTGAATGAATTGCATGAACTACAAACGATCAAAAGCCTGTATCCAGCTTTCTACTCATTGAAAGCCCCACACTCCGATCTCTGAATACCCGGTACTTGTCCTTAACGTCACAATACAGGATGGACACACAAATCTCCCATACTTGGCAGGACTATCTGCTACCATAAATAGTACACGCTACCCACTGTAGTCATATGTGACAGCTGTACGCCAGCTGCCATCTTGATGACTCTAACACGAAGATTTTCCTGCCATGTTATCATCTCACAAAGCGCAGTAGTTAACTGGTGGTGCTCTCCTATTTCATCTAACTTGGTCCCATGGGTGGGAACATGGACATTTTTACAATGACCAAATTATTACATAAGTTACTTTTGGTTTCCCTATTCATCTTTCTCAACGCTGTTAGTAATCATACCCGATACTCCATGACGTATTCCCTGTACAAGCAACAGAAAGAAGGAGCAGATAGTATTCAATTATATGTCACCCAGGTTCCCAAATGTTTGCTTTGCTGATGTGCGCAACATAAATTAATACTATCTGTCAACCCATCACACTCCCCCTTTTCCATGTTACAATCAGCATGAGGCCACAGCTTGGACAGCACTGGTGTAAACTATATTTTTTGGGTTGGATCAGCCAGCAATTTTTTTTAAATTTAATTTTTGTCTGTATGTGTGTTTCTTGATTTTTGACAGCACTCGGTCATAATTCTTGGTGAACATCTAATTTGTTTCAAGATCACAGCTTACACACATACACTTACGTCCATGAAACATTTATTCTTCAGTTTTTATAATGTATAATCAATGGGTTAAAAGTTATTTATGTACTGGATTGAACAAAATCTCATTATTTTTGGTAATAAAATTTAAAAAGTTTTAAAAATCTTTTTAAAATGACCAAATAAACAGATGTTTGTATACAACTGATAGAAGAAATGTTAATTTGTGTGAATTTAGATGTTCTTGTTTAATAAACTCTAGAGTTAATTTACAAAACTTAGTTTATTACTACATAAAAATTTAAGAGATGTCTGATTATGAATTACTTAAATATATGATTAGCTTATTGTTTTCCTCGTCCTATTCCATTAGGATGATTTACTAGACACTGAACAGGAAGAGGAAGACACATCTGGACCAGACTATAACTATATTCTTGGCATGCCACTGTGGAACCTCACTAAAGAGAAGAAGGATGAGTTGGTGAAACAGAGGGATCTCAAGGTAAGTCAGGATATAAAAAATGCATAGTTTATAACAGATATGTTCTAATTTGTCATAGTGTATCACAATGATTTAGTTATAACCCATGAACTGTCAAGAGCAATTGGGCTGTGATGTTAAATTTCTTTTTTTAAAGTAACCTTATGTATAACTAAAATTCCCAAAGCAAAAGAAAATGAATCCCAAGGCCCATATAAGTATACATATTTACATATTTTATCTAGTCATTGCGACAGTTGGTGGGTTAGGTTGATTTGGGCAAATCAGCTTGCTCACTATTTTCAAAATATTCAGTAATCGATTCTTCTGATACTCCTCACTGTAAGAACATTTATTCTGAATAAGGAATCATGCTGCTCTACATATTTTGACATTTCCTTACCTAATTACAAAATTGTCTTTCTTTGCCTACTGTTGAAGCTTTTTTTCCTCATGTTTAGATGATAAGAGGATTTGATAATTTTATTGGATGCATTATTTCAAGTAATTAGCATTTTCTTAAGTTTTACATTGAAAGCCCTTGCTACTAATGCTAATTATAGTGATTTGTCATGTATTCAGTTGATTAATGTATTCTCATAAATGAGGTTCTCTGACTTGGCATCAGACTTTTAAAACTTAGCAAGGAAATCTTTTAATACTACAGTGAAAACTAGCCATAACTTGCTAAAAGACGAATATGGGTCCATAAAATCAGGTCAAGTTAAAGCAGGGTTTTACTATATTTAACTGTTTAAAAAAGAAAGACTTGTATTCATGTCTAATGTAAAAAATCATTGGTTACTATGCAACATATACATTATTTAAAGCCTATTACTTTATAGCAGGCCTGCACAACTCAAAATGTAAGACGGGCCGTAATACTTTATGAAAAACTTGTGCGGGCCAAAAGAAAATAAGACATGACTTGTGCGGGCCAAAAGAAAATAAGACATGACTTGTGCGGGCCAAAAGAAAATAAGACATGACTTGTGCGGGCCAAAAGAAAATAGGACGGGGGAAAAGCTATTAAGAAAAAAATAAGAATAAAGAATATTTCACTACCTCGCGGGCCACAAATTGGGTGCTGGCAGGCCGTCTGTTGTCCAGGCCTGCTTTATAGCAAGGTTTTGCTGTACCGACAACAGGATTATGGAAAGAAATCTTTTCATTTTTGAAGTTTTTGGCTTTAACAATACCACTTAAAATACAATTTTCAATCAGTATTAATCTTTTTTTTCTTCTCTTTAGGCTGATGAGCTCAGATGTCTTCGTAAGAAATCACCCAAAGACTTGTGGAGAGACGATCTTGAAGCCTTGCTTGTTGCATTAGAGGTATATTATTTGTACAATGACTAAAGGAAGTTTCAAACTTTTGAGAGACTTGCAATTATATTTTTGGTAAGGCATAAATATTAAAATCCAAAATCTAAGATTCGATTTAAACAACATATATTTGAGTATAACAGTAACATTTTGAAAGATAGCAAATGGTTAATTAGTCAAATTCATTTATATAAAAAAAAAGGCTGTAAAATAAATCTGCAAGATTACAGATAACCCAACTCTCAAGTGATGACTGACTATATTTTCTATTTTCTTATTTGATTTATTCACTGAATAACTTGCTTAATTTTAGTTGTACTGTTCAATATTTTACAGGAAGTGGAACGTATGGAGAAAGAAAGCGAAAAGGATGTCAAGCCAGTAAAGTTGGGAAAGATAGGAAAAGTCAAACCTAAAAAAGCTCTGATGGACACTTTACCATCTCCAATGGGCAGGAGAATTGTGCCCAAGATAAGCTCAGCAGTCAAGAACAAGTCTGAAGGGGCTAGAAAACTCTTCAAAGATAAGGTTAGTTTTAGCGCAAAAGTGCCTCAGTTAATGTAGTTGTATTATTTAAAAATTCTAGATTAAATCTATTTTTAAAATGGTTTCTTCTGTAGCTTCTTATTGCAATGAACGCCTTAGATTTGAACATCAAAAATGAATTGCATATTGAAAGTTTTAAAAGAAATTATGAAATTTTTGAATATTATTTCAATGTTGTTGTTTTTTTTTTGAAGTGCTTGCAAATGGATTGTGAAAATAAAGATGAAGATATCTAAGAGGAATTTTAAATTGTTTTGGTTCAGATTAAGAAAGAGACAGGGGAGGAAGACCCACAAGCAGACCAAGTTAATTCCTTTGATGACATCAAAACAGAAAATATGAAAACAGAAGAATCATCACCAAATGCGGCGACCGCTGCACCAGGTCGAGGTAAAGGTGCTGGAAGAGGATCTCGGGGTGGCAGGGGAAGAGCTGGAGCCTCAGGAGGCAGAGGTGGTGCTTCAGGAACTGCCGGTAATGCACCAATTTGATAATTAAATGGTTAATAAATTTGGCAGCTCATTTGCTTTTACGAAAACCAGTAGATTTATTTCAGAGTGGCTTTGAATGTGTTGTGGGTTGTCATGGTTTCACGTTTGAAATTTGATACCCGATGTTGATTTTAAAATATATCATCTTTTAGAAAAACAATACAAACACTAACAATGCTAACATTACAAGGTTGATTTCATTCCCTTTAAAATAGTTTTCCTTTTTATTTCAATTTATTTAATTTGCATGATTTTGATTGAGTTTACATAATTATTTGTTTATAGCGCCCAGAGAGAAAAAGACATCCTCGTCTCCGACAAAAGGCAAAAAGAAAAAGAAGAACCCATGGTCCGACAGTGAGGAGTCTGTGGATATTTCAGATGTTAGTGATTTAGATGAGAGTTCCGGTTTCAAACAAGAGCTTGTTATACCACGTGAGACTGCACGCAGAGCAGCTGGTGTGTACCAAATGTCCTATCTTTTTATTGTGCTTTTTTTACTTTAAAAAATGTTTATTTCACTTTTCAAACTTGATACCATTAGATTTACAAATAATTTCTGTATTTCTCTTACATGCACCCATGTTTTGTTATGCTGTGATGCATTATTTTTAGAACGACCATTTTTACACTTTACGAAAAGATTTATAATGTTGACTTATTTACCTTCTCTTTCAGCTGCTCAAGTCAAATATAATTTTGACAATGAGGATGAAAGTGAGGTAGAGGAAGATAAAGAAGAAGACTTTAAACCTTATGACCCAGATACAGGCACGATTGGATCTGTATCAAATGGGGATCATGATAACGGCATCAATGGTGCCTCAGACGAGGACTTTGTTATAAGCAGTGATGAAGAAAAGAAAAAACCTAAAGCTAAACCTAAGCCGCCTAAAGAGACTGCCCCTAGTAAGCCAGCTGTGGCACCAAGTAAGCCAGCCGCCTCTACTAAGCCAGCTGCTCCCAAAAAGTAAGCCCATTCTCATCTCATTTTTAGTTGTAGGCCATCATTTGTGGTTGATGACAAGAATTTTTTTTTTTCAATGCCAGTTTGATGTAGGATAAAGGATCACCTTAGTTATGGGTATTATTGTTGTTTTTTTTTTAAATACAAAAACTCACTCGGTTGTAGGAGTTGCAACTATATTTTTGCTGTTGTTATACTGTTGAGATAGGCCAAACAGACCCTTTCTTTGCTTCTTCTGTAGGGTCAATCAAGTAACTTATTAATTCATATTTATTTATTGAAATAATAAGGCAAAATGACATTAATTTATGTTTAAAGAGCTCTGTTACTTAATGGTATATTTCATGCATATTACCAGTATTTAATTATACTCATTAAACACACACCATAAAAGATCAATTCAGCTTGGGCAAGAGTTGTAAATTCAAGACTTGAAAAGCAAGTTGTTCTCATTGAAAAATGAACATCTGAACACACCACAAAGAAATTTCCAACTGAATAAACACTGCTTTTCAAAACAGACATCAGAAGACATCTGTGTGCCTGAGTTCTGGTTTGTAATACAGATAACAATAAAGGTGCACTTACATTCACATGAATGACCCAAGTTTGTTTTTTTATTTTTTTCAGAGCACCGGCTAAGAAAGCACCAAAGAAAGCAGATAAACTGCCCGACCTGTCCTCTGATAGTGAAAATGAAGAAAAAACTCACTCTAAAGCTTGTAAGTTGAACTGTTTCACAAAGACACTATCTTGTGGGTATGAAAGGGATGGCTGAACACTCAAAATTATGTTATTGTACAGGTGTGGGGCTAGCAACAGAAGTTGATGAAATTTACTCCTTAAAGTAGAGCTTAACATTTTAAGAAGACGATGATTTTTGCCTTCAAGAAACTGCATTTTTAGATTATTTGTTTTTATGTATACAGTATTGAGCAATAAGGAACTGTACCCAGTTAGTGATGATGATGATGATGAGATGTTCAAGCCAAAACCGGCCCCTGCTCCTAAGGCAAAACCTAAAGGTTAGTAGTTGTTCTTTATTCCTGCGTTATCATTCCTTCAAATTTCATCAGCACTCTAAAAACCCATAAGACATGAAATAAAAAAAGCAAGCAGACAAATAAATGTCATCTGTGCTGTCCGCTTTAGACTAATGTCATTTTCTTCTTTCCATCAGAGACAGCTCCCAAGAAAACAGCTGCCCCCAAACCTAAGAAGACAACTCAGATTTCATCAGATGATGACAGTCCTGTTAAAGCTAAAAAGAAACCAGCTGCCAAAAAACGTGCCATGCTGGATGATTCTGATTCAGACAGCTTTATTCCTTCAAAGAAACCAGCAGGAACTGTGAGTATACTTGAAATTATTTTTATATGATCGGAGTGTACAGGAATTGGATTCACATTGTTAGTAGCAAACAGCAATACATACATATCTGACTGAAATTAGCATTCATGTGTAAATAATAAAAAAAATTTAATGCACCGTCAAAATATCTGATCATCATTCCGTTAGGGATGTTTATGTAGCATTACATCTAATATAATTCACATCTACAAAAATTAATATTATATATGCCAGTAATTTTTTTTAAAGGGGGGCAACTCTAATAAATTAGATTTACTTCCTATTTTTTTTAGATATTTTTGTTGATCTAGAAAACAGATAAATATTGCACATGTTTTTTAAAATTATTTTTAAAAAAATTTGAATCAATCTGAAAATTTGATGTTTTTTGTTAAAAATAATTTGTAGGACTCAGATGTTGGCCCTGCTAAACAAAACCCTAATTTATTTGAATTATTTCATTATGGAAGTGATTTTGAAGATAGTTTTTTCATGGTAGTGATCTGATTTTTAAATATATTTTTTTTTGGTTTGTTTCTATAAACCTAAATAATTTATATTTTCTTAACTGAAAGAAATATGTTTAATGTGTCAGAAAAACGGATTTAGATGATAAAAAAGTCCCAACAGTGTGGGTGTGAGTTGAAAGAACAGAAGAACAATTGTACTCACTGTTGGAAGGTCAAGGTCATATCATTTCACATAGCTCTCAGATTTCCAACAAACGATTTATGATTCCTTGTCCAATTCACTCTCAGAATATCTAAACTTAAATGGGTCTTTTTTATTTTTTATTTTTTAAAATTATATTTTTTATTACGTTTGGTTATTTTAGTGATGCATATCAAAGTTATTCAAAAAAGAGTGTTGCCACCACCGCATGTTTACATTTGGCATTTGGTAGGGTAATAGGATTAACATTATTAATAATGTCATCATTAATAGATTTAATGAATTTACCTTTTAAAAAAATGGTAATATGGACTCTACTATTTTCAAGTAAAAACAGAAATTCTTGTTCTTCTCCATTTATCAAATGACTGCTACTGTAATGCGCATTACATCTAATATAATTCACATCTACAAAAATTAATATTATATATGCCAGTAATTTTTTTTAAAGGGGGGCAACTCTAATAAATTAGATTTACTTCCTATTTTTTTTAGATATTTTTGTTGATCTAGAAAACAGATAAATATTGCACATGTTTTTTAAAATTATTTTTAAAAAAATTTGAATCAATCTGAAAATTTGATGTTTTTTGTTAAAAATAATTTGTAGGACTCAGATGTTGGCCCTGCTAAACAAAACCCTAATTTATTTGAATTATTTCATTATGGAAGTGATTTTGAAGATAGTTTTTTCATGGTAGTGATCTGATTTTTAAATATATTTTTTTTTGGTTTGTTTCTATAAACCTAAATAATTTATATTTTCTTAACTGAAAGAAATATGTTTAATGTGTCAGAAAAACGGATTTAGATGATAAAAAAGTCCCAACAGTGTGGGTGTGAGTTGAAAGAACAGAAGAACAATTGTACTCACTGTTGGAAGGTCAAGGTCATATCATTTCACATAGCTCTCAGATTTCCAACAAACGATTTATGATTCCTTGTCCAATTCACTCTCAGAATATCTAAACTTAAATGGGTCTTTTTTATTTTTTATTTTTTAAAATTATATTTTTTATTACGTTTGGTTATTTTAGTGATGCATATCAAAGTTATTCAAAAAAGAGTGTTGCCACCACCGCATGTTTACATTTGGCATTTGGTAGGGTAATAGGATTAACATTATTAATAATGTCATCATTAATAGATTTAATGAATTTACCTTTTAAAAAAATGGTAATATGGACTCTACTATTTTCAAGTAAAAACAGAAATTCTTGTTCTTCTCCATTTATCAAATGACTGCTACTGCAAGAAAAACTATAATAATTTAATTTAATAAAAGTGGTATGTACCTTTCTACACAGCTGCTTGTAAATTTTAGCAACAACCCTGGACGATAACTTATTAAAGTGTACTTTCAATTCATTTCAATTGGTGGTGCCAATCACTGTGACGAGTGAGGAGGACTTAATGAATCCTAGTGCCCATGCATGGGACGCTCTTGATATTAATCTAAATATATTTAAAATGTCTCAAATACTTTCCATGGTTTTAATTTCTTTTTCTTCACATTTTCAAAGTTATAAAGGTATTGACTTGAAATGGTATACTGTGCCTATCTGGTACTTATTAGGCCAATACAGTTGTGGTCAAGTCTTCATAAAAATCAAAACCACTCCTGCAACACTATAAATATCAAACAAAACCTGACCCACCAATATTTATTTTTCCACTAGAAAAAAACCATCAAAGAGGACAGTGAGTCTGAAGATGTCTCATTTAAGCCAGCGGCACCAAGGACAACAACTGGACGGGCTAAAGCCCCTGTCAAGTATAACTTCTCCAGTGAGGATGATGATGACGACTTTAATTAATGGATGTGAGCGAATTTTGGTGTGTGACAGATTCATTGATGTATGTCTGGTTTATAATTTCACATGTAATAGTTAACTCTTATATCTTATAAAATCCTGTGTGTTCTTACATTTTAGATGTAAAATAGCATCATCATTTTACCACAGTCACTTGATTATACATATTTTTGTGATGTTTTTAATCCTTGGATGGGAATTACACATTCTTGACTCTTGACATGATATGTTCATGTAAGTGTCATGGTCAGTTAGTTCTGCTAGTTACATGAGTGGGAGTTTTCTGTCTAATCTATCAAACATTTATGATTTTAAAACAAGTCTCAAGCCTTTTTTCATTCTCATTTCTTTGTAAGTTAGTTAGTATGTTTGAATCAAAGCACATGAATTTCATTAAAGGTAATAATAATTGTTTTCAGTCAAGAATGAATTACTTTTTTGGGACTTACATTTTTAAAAAAATCATCTACTATCACTACATTTTAAAGATAAAAACTTTTTGTTGAGTAAAACATTTTGTAATATCACTAAATACTGTAATTCTCCAATAGATCTGTTTTGTAGCTATTTTTTGTATTATCCTGCATGTTGGACAGCAGGTGGAAAAGAAATGTGGACATATTAGTTTGAATACCAAGGTTTTTAAACTAGTTGTAAGAGCAGGTATGATTCAGAATTGTATTATTCAATTTGCCCATTTGAGGTATTTACTAAACACAATTTAAAAAATTGTGGATATGGGAACTATGTATCCATGTTAATAAAGAACACTGTCTAGAGTGAAGATTTAAGCAATCTATTGATTATACCTTCGTTCATCCCTTGAGAGAAAGAGAGAATAAAAGCCTTTTTTTTTTTTTAAAATCTCACAATTTACCATGCAACAATTTTGTAATTTTTACATTATGTCTTGGCTGTACATAATTTTGTGTCACTCATTTCAATCTGTGAATGCAAACTTTATATGTTGATGATCTGATGCATTTTTTATGTTCACTCATACTGCCACCATGTACATATGTCTTAACAAATGTCAACACACCCATCAAGTACTCCTCCATCAATTTTTATCATACCACAAGATTTTTGCAGTCACCAACTATGTATATTTATTGTAACTTTTAAATTCAATACGATAAGTAATTTATTTGCAGGTAGTTAACTTGTCCTCATGAATGCAACTACTTGCTATGAAGTAGCCAACCTTCATTTGTTCTTTTTTAAAGAAATTGTTTACACTAAGGGAAGCCATTTATAGAATCATATATTTTTAGTGTTGTTAACTCAAATTTTTATTATCAATGCCCCTTGATTGTGAAGAATGTTTCTTTCTAATAAGTTACCAAAAAAGCATTTTTAAATGTTTATTACAAATATATCTTTCAACTATGGTTTTATCCCATTGTTTTTTAAGCTTACAGGAATAATTGAGCGGTTGAAATTGATATTTTTTCTTTATCATGTTGTCTCTCTAGTGGTCTTGTTAATTCAAATGTAATAAACATTTTAACACAAGCCAGCTTATCTTTTTTTTATCTTGCACCTTTTTCTAGCTATTTTGTCTCAAAATAATTCACAAAATAGTTTGTTTTTCAAAATATCTAATTACTTTTGTTCAATAACAGTATTTTTTGGCTATGGAACCTAGATGTTTTTTTTGTTTTTTTTGAAGTATCCAATATAAAATGTCTTGTGCTGTGTTTTCCAAGCTAAATTTCTTTTGTTAAGATTCAAGTATATATATATATATCTCATGATATATATAGTGGTAAACTATAGATTTGTTTTTTTTGTTGACTTTGTACCGCGCTTCGAGCCTTTGGGGATGAAGCGTGTTTTTGAAATGAACTTTATTATTATGATTCATGACTTCTGAGTGAAAATTTACTATTCATGAGGCACACAAAGAATTAGAAACTTTCAATAGAAAAATCAACAAATGGTCAATATAAAATATGTAGCTTTTAATGAATGAAAGAAGTATTCTAATTGTATATAGATATTGTCAAAACACTCTTCATGCACACAAAGTAAATGTAGATTGCATAGATTGAGTCAAACATTATTAGTATTAATAGCATTGAAACAAATGAGACAAACAAAATCAGAGGACCTGCCAATGATAAAAGTTGGGGATGACCAAGAATCATCACTAATATCTGTTGTGAGTTCCAGAATTAAGTAGTGTTTAAAAAATAAGAGGAATAGGAAATGTATAGAACAGTGGAAATTTATTTAAATTGTAAATTTATAGATAGTAATTAAAAATAACATTTTGACATTAAAAAGAAAATATCACTCTCCATAACATGCCGTTCAAGCTTTAGAAATGTATCACAGTTGTATCTCAGACAGCATTTTTATTTTAATGCACTCTATAGCTATACTGAAAATCTTAGGGGTCAACTATTGAGGAAGCAAGAAAAACTAAGATACAAGAACACAGGTTCCTAAAAGTTTTTGAATCCTGGCATTTACATTTTAAAATATACAGTGGTACCTTGGTATTTGTCAGCATTGGAATAAGTCCAACTTGGTATACGTTCGGTTTGGATGAGAAACATTTGGCTTGGTATAAGACCTTCATTTGGAATACAACTCGCATGGGTGCTAGAACTTGTATGCGTCAAAATGACATCCTGCATGCGTAACTTGTATTGTGGAAAAGCATGAGAGTGGCATGCATATCCGGTTGCAGAATACCGTACACTGAAAACGACATTTCTAGGATTGTGAAAAACAGACGTTATTAAATCGGCTAATCTTGCGAAGGGGATGAAATCGATTACAAAACAAAGATCAGGTACATGTATGTATTTTAGTGTTAAGCAGTGTTAAAATTATTTTATACAACCACCTCAATAAATGTATAATATGCCAATAACAATATAATTTATTTTCTTCATGGGAACAGATCAATCATTTCCCCTTTATTTCTTATGGGAAAAATAGGTTTGGTAAACATCTTGTTTGGTATAAGTCCAAGGATCTGGAACAGATTATGGACGTATCACGAGGTACCACTGCATATGGCTTTTAAAATAGGCAAAATAAAAAAAGCATTAGATTCATTATAATTTTATCTTGTGACAAATTTAATTGGATGACAAAAGTTGTGTTGTAACTTGTTACATGCTCCACAATTAATGGTTTGGAATGGTTAATTTGCCATTCTAAATATGTAAGCTTTTTTTTTTTTATTTTAATATGAAGAAACATTCACAGTCATGGGTAGAAGCAAAGGAGAGTATTGTTCAAACTTCATAACACCGTTTAAAAATGAAATTTGCCTTAAAATAATATTTTTTTTAAAAAGTTTATTGACCCCCGAGAAAATGCTTGGCTTCCTTTATTTCGGGTCGCTACACAGAGGTTGGGAACCTGTGTACCAGAAAAATGAAAGCCTGGAGCTACTGCAGAAACAGTAAAATTAGGCATTGATCACTGGAATAGAATTAAGAAAATAACATGTTCAGATGATCTAAAATTAAACAGGACGTTCAAAAAAATAATTATGCAAGCTGAGTTGACAGTCAGGAGTACAAGTGTTTGCAATTTATAGATTGCAAAAAAAAAAAAAACGCATCTTTTTTCCCTTGGTGCGTCCCCATAATGCTTATTTATTGATACTCCTGATATTCTTACCAGCTTTGTCAGTTGAAAGGTCGATGTACAACATATCTTAAGGCTTAAGGATCAGAAAAATTTTTTCAGACTTAACAATTTAAATTTTGTAGAGTATTTTTTAACAATGTTCTCAAAATTTTATGGCATCATACTTCACACTGGCCTTCAGACAAAATGCTTTTGTAGTTTGACTTTCGTCAAGTGAATGGTTCATACTTTTTAACAGTTAATACTTTTTAAAATGTTTAATCCAGTAAAATGTTTTCTCACTGCCATATTGAATTAAGACATTTGTAGAACTGTCATATATAATATGACCATTGAACTAATTTTGGAATCAACAAATTGTGAAAATATATGAATGCTATAAAAAAATAAAACCATGTTTAAAATCTTAAAGTAAAAAGGGATCTATCCAAAACACTTTAAACAGGGAAGACAGAAAGTACACGGTGGGGGTTGGCTTGCACAAAGGAAGCAATGCAGGAATAGTTTATAAAAAGCTATCAAATGTTTACAAACTCATTTAGTGGGAACCGGTGAACCCTTACACAAATCATATAGTTGAAAGTTGAAAAGGTAAAAATGAAATCTACACTAACTCATGAGGCCGGTACCAATTTTTGAAACAGATTTTTTGGGTCTGATGCTACATTTATCACACGTGGAGAACTAAGATGGAGCAAAACCAATTAGGTGTGAAAGTTATTATGCTTTAACTTATTTATGCACAAAACATGATTAACAAATGTTGATTGGATGGTGAGTATAATTTCAAGCACCAAGAAATGTCATGAACGTTTTCAAAAATGGCGAGACATTATTTGTTTTGTTTAAAGTAGAAAACAATGAATAGTTACCAGTTTTTGAGTTCCCAGACCAATCTTATATTATTATTATGCATGAGAGTTGTGTCCCTGGATGAAATTATAGCAAGTTCTTAATTAATGATATGAATGTTAAATATTCCTTCAAGTTTGGGTAGCATTTAGAATACTTATGTCTAAAAAAGTATTAAGAAAAAAAAAAAGGTCATAGGCCTTACAATATATTTTGTTTTAAAAGTGGAGAAAATATGGCCTTTATCACAGGCCTAGTTCACAAGAAACTGATCACAGTAGATTACAAGTTTATTCTGGAAGACAGATTATTAGAAAGATATAAAGACGGAGAAATGAAAACATTGAAAGACTGGAGCAAACAACAGAATCATCAGGTTTAGAAGAGACAGGACAGCCTTATGTTTTATGGTAACTTGCACAAGTACGTATAACCCTCTTGAGATGGAGCCTTTTCAGATTGTCGGTGCCTAAGAGGAAAAAGCCATTTTTAAACAAGCCCTGCACTTTGCAAAAACATTTTTAAAAAATAAACTAACTACTTTAAAAAAAAAAATTACAAATATTTTTGTAGGGCATTGAATAAACTAATATGATCTTTATGAATCAAACTGAAATCTCAACATTTATGCAAATGGAATATCCTGATTTGGAAAATTTATGTACTTAGAATAAAGATTACCTGCAGAATTTTGTTAAATTTTATGATCGTTGAAGCCTAAATCAGTCCTAACAAACATTTTAATGAGATGTGTGAAAAACTGCATAAAATATTCAATCTGGGCATTTTTCAAGGTCACATTTTTATAAGCATTTTATAAGGGTCACTAGGTACGAGTAAAATGGAAATAAAATGACAGAACACCGATAACTATCAATGGAAGCCGCTGTTAAAATGCAGAGATGAGCAAGAAATGCGAGAAGCAATCTGATTAGCTGGGGCAAAGACCAGCCAGTCAATCTTGAGGCTTTTATTATTAGGTCAAATAATCAGCCATTTGTCTTTTTCGCCAGTCAACTCTGGGCCGATAGATCGACCCACCCGTCTCAAGAGGTTTAATGACGGGAACTTAGTAATGAAATTTAAAAAAAATAAATAAATTAAAACAGACCAATAAAATTCGCGTGCTTTTAAAAAGTCGTCATAAAATATGGCATTGAGTGAATGAAAGAGTAAAAAATAGATTTTATTCATTAAAATATGGTTCTAAAGAAATTGTAAACAGGAAGTCTGGTCCGGTGACAATTGTAAAAACAAATGGAAGATCAGACAAAAATTTGTATAATTATCAAAATAGATCTAGAAGTCAAATCAGATGACTCCAGAAGTAATGTCAGATAACTCTAGAAGTAGAGCAAAGAGATTTAAAACAGGACAAAAATAAACAATAGGTAACATTCTACTAAATTTTCTTTCACTGTCATACATCAGATTCCTGTACAACTCTATCCCCCACCAGACGTGACCTTTGAGACTTGGCAAGTGGACTTCCTTCCTCAGACTTTCCACTGATAAATGATTGTGAACGTAATGACTTGGGTGTCCATTTTCTTATTGGCTTAGCTGGCGTGTCTGTTGCCCGGGCCATCTGGTCTTTGAGCTGCTGGATTTCCTTGTCTTTTTCCTGATATCATCAAAGTAGGTCGCAAGTTAGAAATATAGGTCAATCATCTAAATTATGTTATAATTAATAACCCCCACAATTAATTGTTAACCCTTGTAATAAATTGATAACCCCCATAATCAATTAACCCCGATAGTTAACAACTGTGATTGATTGTTAACCCCTGCAATCAAGTAATCCCGTAATTGATAGTTAATTCCGTAATTGATAGTTAACCCCTGTAATTAATAGTTAACCGTATGATTGATTGTTAACCCCTGTAATTGATAAGTTAACCCCTGTATTTGATAAGTTAACCCTTGCGGTCTGCTCATGTATGTTTATCAAAGCTGTCACATTAGAAAACGTTAAAATATCTCACCTTCAAATCTGACTCCAATTTTTTGGTGCTTTCTTTGATCTCCAACTGAACCTGGGACAGCAAGGACGACTTGATCTAAAGACACAAAATTTATACTTGATGGGCTGGCTAATATATTCCTACAAAAATCACACAGGTCATAAATTGATCTTTTTCCTAACCCCATGAAGCCAAAATCACA